GGCCTTGCCGGGCACCTGGGGGTGGGGGCGGGAGGGCTGGGCTGCGGGGCGGGGCCCTGCCGGGCACCTGGGGGTGGGGGCGGGAGGGCTGGGCTGCGGGGCGGGGCCTTGCCGGGCTCCTGGGGGTGGGGGCGGGAGGGCTGGGCTGCGGGGCGGGGCCTTGCCGGGCTCCTGGGGGTGGGGGCGGGAGGGCTGGGCTGCGGGGCGGGGCGGGGGCTCAATGTGGGTGCACGAGGTGGGGGCGGGGCTGGCTGGGGGCGGGGCTGGCGGGAGAGCTCTGTCCTCCGCGGCGGGGAGGGAGGCCCTGGTCCTGCCCCTGGGGGCACCTGCCGGGGGTCAGGCTTCCCAGGGCCTTCTCAGGCGTGTGGGCCGGACGGGCCCAGCGCCTGCCCGCCTGGCGGGAAGCAGGACTAGCGCGATGAGGGGCTTGCACACGTTGACGGAGGGCGCGTTTCACGTGATCGGAGCCGCTTAGGGACCCTCGGTCGGCCAGCACATGGCCCATTGACTGGAGCCCCAGAGTTCACGTGGCCTGTCCAGGGCCACCGAGCTGTTTCCGGAACTTCTGACTGGGAAGAGAGGCCCCACTTCCAGCGCCTGGACACCTGTTTCCCAAAGACTTTTCAGGATGTAGTTTAAGAAACTGTTGAAATGCAAATTGTCAGGCCTTTTTCAGCTCTTTTGGTTAAAGATTTAAAAAAACAAATCCTAGACGTTCTGAACAACATTAGTTCCACTTTATGGACTGGTTACTGCGGGCTAAGCATGACTTGAGGAATTTCCGCCCGTTGCTCACATCGTTGTCCCTCTGAGTGACTATGTTCCACCAAGGAGAGGCGTTAGGCTCTGGGAGGTTAGGACACTTGCCCCGGGATGGAGGGCAGCAGAGACCTGGAGAGTAGACGGCTCATGGGACTCCCCGCTTGCGTTCTGCCCACCGGCCCCACCTCCCGGTCCTCTCCTCATTGGAGCTGTCCTTTCTGGGAAGCGGGTGCCGGGCCCTCGGGTCCAGGCCCAGCGGCCGTCCCAGCGCCCGCGTGAAGCCGCGCCCAGCGCGCCCGGCCCAAGCAGCAATCCCTCGCTGACGTCAGAACTGCGCCTGTCCAGCGGTCCTGGGAGGTGGCAGAGGGCCTGCGGGTGAGTGTGGCCACGACCTCCTGGGGCGCATGGGCCCGTGATGGTGGCCCGTGATGGTGTGCCGCCAGGAGCCTGCCGCCCTCCGAGAATCCTACTGGGGATTTTACTTCCCATGAGCGGCAGGATATCTTGTTAAACCCCGTTGTTGGGGTTAAAGATGGCTTTCTTGTGACAAACCAGGACTTCTTCAGGTGTTGATGAAGAAAGTGACTTCACAGATGGAAAAGCCCGTTAGGAGACATTTACTGTGTGTTCTTTCAGGGAACCCCGTGAGAAATACCCCTTCACTATGGCCAGCACGCTGTCCTCCCCGAAATACTGTGAAGACCCTGGGGTGGGCGCTGACCGGCCTCCTCACCACCAGAAGCTCACCCTCTGAGCCTCTGGGCAGAGCCCTGGCTGTGTCACCGAAACTGGCCCATCTTTGGGAGATTTGGGAGGTGGCTGTGCTGGGGGCAGGAGGGTGTCTGGGGAGGTTGGGGAGGAGTAAATCAAGTGAGTGCAGGTTGATTTAACCCTATGTTCCCACATCACCAGCAGTGACTCACCCCTCATGTGTGTCTCCGGCATCCAGGCCCTGAGCTAGCCAGATGGAGGGCCCCTGGAGAGGCACCCCAATTCCCACTGGCCCTTGGCCGGGCCTCGTGCTGGCCTCCAGCCCCTGCTGGCTCCAGCTGTCCACGTGGGACTTCACTTACAGAGATCTGAACCCACCAGCGCAGAGGACGGATGCTGTCTTCCTCCATCTACTCTCCCCCAAATAAAGCAGCCCCGTGCTTTGTGGGGGAAGAATCAGATCACCGAAAGAAACAAGTTCAACAGAGGGGATCTGCACCACCAATGACAGAAGTCACGTTACAGGCACGTCCTGGGTCAGGAGACCATCTGGCTGCTCCAGCATCACCTTGGCCTCAGGTGACTGGAGTGAGGACCCGAGGTCATGCAGGCCATCCTGAGTGTTAGAAACGTTTTTCATTATTGGCTACAAGACAGGCCATGGACGCAGGTCTTTTAGAAACAGCTGCTTTGTCATGGGGCTAAAGTGCTACGTGAAGGCTCTGGCCTGGTCAGCCAGAGTATGGCCTTCCAGAATTCCCCATGAGCCGGCCCTGCCCCACCTGACCTGGAATCCGGGGGGACCTGGGCCCTGGGTCCAGATGCCTACAAACATCCTGTCCTGTCTGGAAGCCAGGAACGGGAGCCCTGCAGGGGCGTCGGCCCAGCCCAGAGAGCTGGAGGGGAGTGGGACCGGTGAGACCTCGGGGCTCAGGCTCCTGTGTGTCCCCCTGTGTGTCCTGTGTCTGCACGTGGGAATCCCCGGGACCCTTGGAGGGCTCGGGTGGGGAGGACAGGCAGCAGGTGCGGCCCAGAGCCTTGGCCTTTCCTGATTCAAGGCAGCATCTCTGGAATTTCTCCTGCTCCCTGCGCTTTTCCATGGCCCCTTGTGCGTCATGTACATTTTGCTGAATTTTCACTGCTGCCTGGTGCAGCCACAAAGACCGTTGCTGTTATTCTATTTTACTGTGAAAAATGGGACCCAGAGACGTCGAGAGGCTTGGCAGGGGCGCAAGGACGGGGTTGGATGGGGCAGTGGTGCAGAAGGCTCAGCTTCCCCGCCTCCCGCCCGCCCCATGCCACACTGCTGAGCCCTCGGAAGACCGACCTTGCTGGCGTTAAGCACGGAGGGGGTGACCTGCGGGCCAGGAAGGAAGCGGCCAGAGAGATGAACGGTGCTTCCTGACTCACCCCAAACTTGCAGAGCGCTCCGTCCCCAGCTCGGTGCTTGGAGACAGTGGTGACGGCTGTTGGAGTTTGTCCGGTTTTGGTTTTTGCTTTAGGGAAGGAAAGTGCCAAAAAAAGGGATTTGTACCAGGTGACAGATTTGCAAGCAGGTGCCTTCAATCATCCTCAGTGCTAGAGAGCGTGCGGGACTCAGGCCCCCTGCCTGGCAGAACTGAGCAGGAGTTGGACCCATCTCTGGATTCGTTGTTGGCCCAGAACCTGGACATCGACACCCACTTCCACCAAGTCTGGCTCTGTGTTGGCCAGAGGCTTGGGACCCCTAAGCTGGGAGGCAGAGAGCCCCAGAGGCACCTGCGAGGCCTGGAGGCCTGGCCTACGGGGCTGATACCCTGAGAAAACCCAGCGAGGGCAAGAGGCCCAGGGCGCTGCTGCTGACTTCCCCTGGGTTTGGGGGCAGCACCCATGACCCCCCGGGCTTTAGATCCCCTATCTGATGAGAGGCTGATGGTGAATGGCAGTTTTGCAGCTTGTGGTTTGCAGAAGAGCCCATCCAGACCCTCTGGGAAGCCCTACTTGGAGGCAGTCCCCCTGGGGTGGGGACCCCTGCCTCAATCCTCCCACCTCCTCCCTCTCTCCTCCCTCTTCCCCGTCCCTCTCCCCTCCTGACCCCAGGGCCCCCACCCGCCCCTGGACAACTCCTCTCCAACACCTACTCTCTGGCTGGAGGAAAATAAACACAGACCCCCTGCCAGGAACTGACCACGTCCTCCCCAAATTCGTATGTTGAAATCTTACCCCCGGTGTGGTGGTGTTAGGAGGTGGGGCGGTGGGGAGGTAATTAGGTTTAGATGAGGTCATGAAGGTGGGACCCCCATGAAGCAGTTAGTGCCCTTAGAAGAAGAGAGAGTGCCCTCCCCGCCCCGTCCCCTTCTCTCTCTGCCCATGAGGTCTAGGAACCAGGAGGAGAGCTCTCACCAGGAACCGATCGGCCAGCACCTCCATCTTGGACTCCCAGCCTCCAGAACTGGGAGAAATACATTCCCGTTGGTTAAGCCGCCAGCCTGTTGTATATTGTTCTGGAAGCCTGAGCAGACACCACCCAAGGGAGAGAAGCAGAGGCTGCTGGCTCAGAGCCGGCTGGAGCGCAGGCTCTGCGGCCGTCGTGCGTGCTCGGTGGGGACGCAGAGGCACGCATGGGGTGGGACAGCCTCACAGTGGAAAAAGGGGGTCGGGGCGCCCCGCCGGGGGCCGTGGGCACGGGGATGCCGGGACGGCTAACTGGAAGCAGGATCCTACAGGACTGGCTGGGGGAGTGGATCTGGCTTTCCCGTTGGCTCTCAGCTGGAGGCGGGCGCACCTGGCCCCTATCGATCAAATCTGGCCGTTTGGGGCTGATGGCTGCGTGTTGTGGGTCGGAATTCTGCGTTTATATATGATCTCGACATTGCTGTCTGCATATCCAGTCTCTCACCAGGCTTCCCGGGCTCTCCTGTGATTATCTTAAGAGCTCACACAGTGTGCTAATGGAGGGGGGGCCAAGGGAGTCTCTGAAATGCCTCTCTAGTCTCTCTCTGACACTGGGGTTTCAACAGGGGCTTCCAGAAGGCAATCAGCCCATCACAAAATCATTCTGGGACTGCTAGGTCAGGCAGGAGAGGGAGGGGTGTGTTTTCAGGCCAGTGGGGAGAGAGCCCCCCACATGCACACCTCTGAGAATGTGGGAGCCCATGTCCTAGGAGATGCCAAAGAGGAATCCCCAACACATGGAGGTTTTTCTAGAGTTTTCTAGCGGGCCATGTTACAGTCTCAACTGAGAGCCAATTTTGTTCTTGGTGTTAGGGAATATCTCTGTCTTCAGCCTAAAACCCGAAAGACACAACTCAAATTCATTTTCTCTGGTTGACTTGGGACTTGGATCTCTTTGATCGGTCCTATCCTTCTTGCTATCAATACCCTGCCGCCGCGGATCTGGTTCTTACTTGCTACACACCAGGAGGCTCTTGGGGATGTGCGTCTGTCTTGGGTAGGGCTCAGGAAGCACTTTAAAAGACGTCAGGCTTTGCACACTTTCTAAGGAGGGGTGGTGGAGGATAAGCAAGAAAAGAGCTATCCGAGTGGTAAAATAATGTTTTATTCCATGGATGAACAAACGCTACCATGCCACATTCTCACGTTCCCCCTGCCAGATCTCGCGGCCAAAGCTGGCTTCCCCTGTCAGGCCTCGCTGGCTTTGCAGTGGGTCAAGCCCACGGACAAAGCGAAAACACGGTCACGTGGCATTCAGAGTGGGTCCTGCCGCTCACGTGCTGGTCCTTTTCACACGCAGTGACGTCTCGCCTGAACAAATCCGTGATGGAGACCTTCCAACTGCGCCAAGCGCAACTGACATCCAGAACTCACGTGGATGCATCCCAAACCCCCAAATGCCAAAAAGCTACATGGACGAATCTTCTCTGCTGACGGGACGTCGAGGACCCCCCGGCAGGACCGGAAGCTGGAGACGTCAGTCCTGACATTCAGGTTGTCGACAAGCTCCAAAGGAAACAGTAGTGACGGATGGGTTTCTACCTCGCACCTGTGGGGAGTGCAGGTCAGCCACCGAGTGTCGAGTGTCGGCATGCAGGCGACACGGTGAGAGCCGATGGGGGGCAGCGCCGATCCGGTCCCTATGCACAACAAAACGGAATATACACTGGGGCGCCGGCTGTACATCCGGTCAGGGGACCTCCTTCACGTTGACAGGCTGCCTGCACGCGGTGCTGAGGGCACTGAGCCGTCCCCAGGGCGGGAGGCGGCCGCACACACCCACGCGTCCCCGCAGGACGCCTGTCCCCTGCACACGGACAGACTCGGGGGCGGAGTCAACCCTTTGTCTTCTCTTGTTTTTTTTTTAACCAAATGCCATCTGAGAAGCCTCAACAACTTATCAAGGGGGAAAAGGATGCGCTTCAAGACATACGGAGATCGTGTGAATCTAAGCCAAATCCTAATGCAGCTTTGGGGGAAAGAAGTTTTACTGATGACTTTTTTTTTAGTGAATGGTGTTGGATGTCTTCTCCCCCCCAGTTTTTTTGAAATTTCTCCACGAAGTCTCACGACAGTCTTGAGGGGAGAGCAGTTAGTTACTTCTGATCTGTTTCTTTATCAAACGAGTGCAAAGCCTACACATTGACCGAACACAAAGCGAAACAAAGCCAAAAAAAAAAAAAAAAAAGAAAGAAAGAAAGAAAGAGAGAAAGCAAGAAAGCAAGCAAGCACAGCAAAACCACCCCATGACCGGAGACAGTGTCAGGTAAAAACCATAGAAAAATACGAATTAATTCCATAAGGTTAACCATTAGCGTCGGCTACAGTGATACTCTGTACAGCCCTAAAATGCCGAATCTCCTAGTTACGGAGAGGAGCAAGCCAATCTACGGACGAGCCCTGTTAAAACAATTGTGCTCTAGTGGTCTCCACGGCGCGGTCACGGCGGGCGGGCGGGCGGACGGACGGACGGACGGACGGACTGGCGAGGGCGCCTGAGCGCTGCCGCGCGTGGCGGGGGCGCGGGGCCGGGCTCCTCACCGCAGCCTCTGCTCCGTTCCTCGCGGAGGGGCCGGGGGGAGGCGAGGCCGGGCGGCTCCAGGTGCCCGGGAGCCCGGGTGAGCGAGGGCGCGCCTCGGCCTGGGAAGGAGCCGGCTCCCGGAGCGACCCCGCCTTCGCGACGCAAGACACACATGCTGTGGGGAGTCACGCTTCTCGCCCCCGGCCCCGCCCCCGCGGGGGAGGGAGGAGGGTCCCGGCTGCTCGCAGTTCCAGGAGGGCCCCCCCGCCCCCCGCCCCGCCGGGGCGCTGGGGCTGCCTCGGGCTCAGTCCTCCTCCTCCTCCTCTCTCGCTGTGGCCGTGGGCAGCCTGTCCTGAGTGCGGAAGCATTCCACGAAGAAGCTGATGATGGATCGGAACAGGTGCTGGTGGAGGGAGGCGCTGTGAAAGTAATGGCCTTCGTCCGGGTAGATCTGCAGGGAGGGCAGGGAGACGTTACTGCCAGCAGCGGCCCCGGGGGCCTGGGGACCCTCGTGGGACTCGAACCCGGCACAGCCGGGACACCACGCACCCACGGCTCCATTTCAGCCTGCAAACGGATTTCCTAAGCCGCTCCAGGGCAGGCGCCAGCCCCGCCTTTGCTGGGAGGCTCTGCCGGGCACGGTGGGCTCGCGGGGCGTCGGCTGGCTAGACGAGATCACGTTCTGTTCAACAGACTCTGTACAGAGGCTCCGGCCCAGGTCTCCCAGGACCAGGACCCAAAGACATGGGAAGAATTCTGCGCTGTCCCCACAACCCTGGCCGGCGTTTGCCTCACCCCGGGACCGCGGGCAGGTAACTTCACCGAGCCTCAGTTTCCAGTTGTGCCTAGCGGACACGAGCATCCTGATAGAACCCAGCTCATAAAGCTCTGTGAGGATTCAGTGATAGACTCCCTGCGAAGTGGTTAGAGTCAGACCACGACACAGGGACTGAGTGTAGTGACGGCCCCCGTCCCCTAGGCGTGCTGCACCATTTTCACACAACAGTACCTGTTTGGGCAGGCACTCAAAGCCAAGTCTAAAGGACCTGGAAGCCCACGTTGTTTCCATGATGCCAGGCTGCCCCCAGCATCTGGAATCCTGTCTTCCTCTCTGTCTTTGGAGGATGGTGTTCACCTTTAGAGTATTTATTAATGATGGAATGGAGCTGTTATATAGACATTAAAATGTCTATAGTCCGAAAGGACACGAGGTAGGATGCACGCCTCTCCCTCTCTAGGTCCCCAGTCCCTATGCCCTTCCCTGGAGTTGATCACTGTCACAAATTCACTGAGTATCTGTGCAGACATTTGCTGTGCCTGGAGGCATGGCACTGGGCTGCGGTCCCTTTACTGTCTCGAGTGTGGTCTACAGTGCATCTTGCTCAAAATCTTGCTGGTTTAGCTTGGTCTACACCTGGGGGAGTGATCCACATTAGCACGTGGAGATTTACCTTTTAACCTGCCACGGCTGCATTATGTGTCTAGAATGTATTTAACCACGGCAGCTATCAGCTTTACTACGATCTGAACTTTCAGAAGCAAGCTCGAAGGTAACATTAACCAAGTTCTTCCTTCCCCATTCATCAACACTCAGGCCAAATCCCCTCCCTGCAGGAAGCTCCCCCCGACTGGCCCAGCCCACGTGTGACCCTCCAAGATGGCGACGCGGCAAGGCCAGGAGCTCAGGACAGAAGGCAGGCAGCAGTCCGTGCCAGGGCTAGCGCTGAGGGACAGGTTCCTAGTGGAGGAAATCTCCCATTTATGTCTAGACCTGAAAAACCACCGGGGTCATGCGTGTTTTGCCAAAGGAACCCATGGTCAGGAAGGAAACGGAAGATGTTTCTAGAAGCAAAACTGTGCATTGCTGGAAGGAGCCCAGACTTGAGCTGCTGGCTTAGTACTTGATGCCAGTGAAAACAAGGCTGTGAGTTTGTTTCGTGGGAAGGGTAGTCCTCTAACTGATGCTCAGCCACAGATGATTCTGGAACATTCTGCCAGAATTTAGTGAATGTGGGGTGCTGTCCAGAGGGAGGCTAGTGGAGAAGGCTCAGGACCTGCACATGTAAAGCCCCCCAAAGCCCCCAGAATGCTGCTCTCATCAACACTGGGACAACAGCCCCATCCTCACCCGCAGGGACGCCACCAGCCTCACTGCGGAGAAGCGGTGCCTGTCTTGGCCTTGCTCACCGCCCGGAGGCGGGGGGCGGTGGAGACCTGAAGGGGTTTGCGCACAGCTCGAGTGCAGAACCGTGCGATCATCATCAATTACTAGAGAAAATAAGCATGTGCCAATTCGTCTGGCCCGATGCGCCCCTGCCCGTCTCTGACAACCGTAACACAGGTGCGTCTGCAGAAATGGGATGAACTGAATACCAATCAGTTCTTTTTCCACGGAAAGGATGTCTCTCTCCAAGTGTGGAGCAGAGACGTGCAAATACTGTACCTGTAAACTGTAATTAGCCTTCCCCTTAATTAGTTGTGTAATGAGTTCTGCCGTGTGCTGGAAATGGATTTTTTCTGTTAAAAAAAAAAAGAGGAAAGGACCGGTTAAACCCCTAACACCATCAGGGCAATGCTGCGAAGTGACATCCTTGGTCCTTACCGTCCGCGGTTGCGTGAATGATCAGAAACTGCTGTTCTTCCAGCGCCGACACGCGGTGTGCCACCTTGGTCATCTGCACATGCGGGGGCAAGGGGACAGAGTTGGTGGGCCTCTAGCCGCTAGCGAGGGGTTCGTACTGGACCCCTGACTGAGAAGGTAGTGGGGGTCCTGGGGCCAGTCTCGGGAGGATGGGGTGGTGGTGGGCTTTCCGTGTGAGGGAAACACACAGTGCATCTCTGCTGCCCTGCAGGGGTGCCCCCGAGGAGGAGGAAGATCTCAGCTGCCCTGCCGGGGTGCCCCCGAGGAGGAGGAAGGGGTGGAAGAGAAGGGAGCACAGGAGCTCTTTCACCCGCGGCCGGTGGCCTTAGGGGGCTCTCATTCCAGCCGGTGCCACTGGGAGAGGACACCTGGCCCCACGGTCCCGCGGTCCGAGCATGGATTCCGGCTCCGAAGCCAGCCCCCCGCCCCCCGCAGCAGAAGTGTGGCCTCGTTCTGTGGCCGGCCAAGAAACACCCCATGTGACACCCACACCAAGTCAGTTCAGTGGCTATGACGGAGCAGGTGACATCAGAGGACTTTCTGTCACCCAATCAATGGCTTATTTTCCCAAAGTGGAACCAGCCTTGGGGAAGGGGACCGGCAGTCATCAGTGCCCAACGACTGTGGATTCTGGGACAGACCCTCCATCCATCCAAGGACTTCCCTAACTCCCCTCCACGCCCCTCGGGTGCCAGAGAGGGAAACCGGACGGGCCCGGGAGAGGCCCTGGTCCCCTCGGTTCACAGCCTGGAGGAGGGTCTTCTCAGAGTGAGTTTGGTGGGGGAGGCGGAGAGCACAGTGGGCCCAGGGAGGGAGTGTGGGTCCCAGAGTTGGGCCAAGGCCAGAGGGGCGGGACCCATCTCACCCAATTCCCCATTCCGCCAGGAGGCGGGGGTGCCCACACCTACCTCATATGCTCTGTTGTCAAGTCCGTGGAGGCCCAAGTACCTCTCGGAAAACGCAGACGCTGGACACAAGCAGAGGAAGGCAGGGTTACCTGAGGCGAGTGGGTGCAGAGCCCCCAGACGTGGGGGGCGCCCTTGGTATGGGGCTGGGGGTGGGGCTGTGCACTCATCTGCAGGGCAAACGTTTGTTTCTAAAACACCCCTCAACCTGCAGGTCTTTGCCCAGGTAATCAGCACCGTAGTGACATTCAAATATGCTAGAGCAGGTGGCTGGGTTTTAAGCAATATAGCGAACCTTAATCAAGTGAAACAGTGCATCTGAATCCTCAGTAAACAGGATGACAGCCCCCACCCCCAACTTCGTTCCAACATATAGGAAGGGCAACAAATTCCAAAGAGCAGATTTTCATCAGGCTTTTTTTTTTTTTTTTTTTCTTTTTTAAAGGCTAGGCATGTCCCGTTCCAGCCAAAACCCTGGCTCCGGGTCCAGGTTCTGGGTGAGGAGCTGGTGTCTACCCTGTCAGGAAAGTCAGGATGGGAGGAGCTCCAAAGGCTTCTGCAAGTTGCAGGGCCTTCCTTAATTAAGGGGAAGAGACAGTGGAGGATTTTCCTGTCTGGGGCACTGTGACCAGCCAAGGTGTAGGATGGTACATTTACGTGCATTCAAATCAGGCAAATTTGAAATAGCATGATTAAAAAAATTAAAGGAGTCTCACTGAATTTAAAAAAGATGAAATATGCTACATGTCTTCCCATAGGAAAATTAATCTTAAGTCATTAAAATGTTGAATGAGGAGCGTTCTTATAGGACTGTGAGGTGAAGTTTGCATTAGAGCACTTCGGAAGCCTCAGTGCATCTTTTGTGAGCGCTCTGGCTGCAGGAGCCAGGGGCTGAGGGCTGCTGGACCCTGTGAGGCCCGGGCTGCTGAGCTGGGGCAGCGGGGCGGGTGCGGCCGGGTACTCGTAGGCTTGGCCGACCATGGACAAGAAGCCCTCTCCATTTCTGATCCCATTAGGCAGTGCTGCTTTGTGCAGCATAGCTGGGGTTAATAGCCTGGCCTCCCAGGGCCTCCCAGCCTCGGCCCAAAAGCGAGTTCTCAAAGTCCACAAGGAATACCTCGCCACACATTTAAAAAAAAAAAGCATGAATGTCACAAAACCATTCACACTGAGAGAAAAGGGGCCAGCTGACCGGGACAATGTAGGGAGCTCGGAATCCCAAAACTGTGACCAAAGAGCCAGGGCGGTGCCTGACAAAGGTCCGGTTCCCACACCTGGGAGGCCTGCCCCCCGACTGGTCCCCACGGCCAGCCATCCTGATGCCCCGTCCCAGGCCCGAGTCCTGCCTGTTAGACGGGCAAGGTGCTGGCCAGGTGCTCCCTGCCCCACCAGGAGGAGGGCGGGTGGAGGCAGAGCAGAGCTCAGCTGCCAGGTCTGCACCTGAACGCCACCAAGCAGCAGCCCCTTCAGCCCCTAAGCCCTCATCACGGAATCCCTGCCCGAACACCCCCAGGCCCCGGATCCAGAGCCCGGGCAGCGCCCCTGCCCAGATTCTGGGGGCAGGGGGAACGCGGCCCCAGCGGGACCGCAGCCGGCCCCTTCCTGTCCGCATGCACGCGAGGCTCCTCCGTGGCCGCTACGGCAGGGGGCCCCGAGGCTTCTCTCCAGGTTCCTCGTTAGCTGCACGGCCCCTGTGGCTTCCCCTCCACGGGGGGTGTGCGGAGCGGGGGTGGCAGGCGGGAGCGTGGTGAGAAGGGAGGCACGGGGCCGGGTCTGCGGCGTCAAGACCGTTACCGTAGAGCTTGAAGTCCGTGATTGGAGAGAGAGCAGAGCCACAGGTGAAGACCTGAGCCTGATTTTCCCCCTTTGCCGGGAGGATGTAAGTGCTCAGGTACCCGCCATAATCCTGGGAGAGAGAGAAAGGGGGTGAGTAGGCGGAGTGTCAGTGATGCCCTCAGGAAAACAGCCTCAGGGGTAAGATCAGTGACTCCGCAACCATCTTCACAAAGTTTCTGTTAAAAAGTAAACAAGATGAAAGGCAAATCACCGTCCCAACTAGCTACATGGGACGCACGCCTCCTCTCTTGGGGCCTAGTGTCGGGCGATGTGCAGAGGATGCGTGAGGGCAGCCGTGGCCGTGGGCTAGGATGTGCTGGGTGCATGTCGGGGTGTCATCAAGCCCCTTCCAAGTCAGCCTTTCCCTGCAGCGCGTTTGCTGCCTTCCCGTCTCCAGCCAAGCCAAGCCGCTCAAGGTGGTCTCGAGGGAGGGCCACCAAGGAACCTGTATCAGAGGGCTCAGGTACCGGTCAGCCAGGAAGCCTGGCTCAGGGCCTGCGGAGACAGGCGTCCATGTGGGCGCTGGACATGGGCAGTTCCTTCAAGTCCTATAGTGCCCTTACCTTGGGGCTGACACGCAAGACCCCTACTTCAACCAGGGCCTTCCAGAGAGAGTACACGTGACGCATTACCTACCACGGGCACCTTCGAAGCTGCTTGGCTCCGATGTGCTCGGTCTCCCGAAAGCACCGAAGGGGACAGGACACAGATGGGAAACTGCGATGAGCAAACGTGGGAAGGGGCAGGAGCGAAGCCTCAAGGGAACCAGGTATGTTCTCCTGGGGGCTTGGGGGCTGTTAAAGATGTTGTGTGTGTGCTGGGGTGGGAGGGTCGAGTGTGGAAAGCCAAACACCTGACGGAGACTGTGTGTGCAGCCCAGGCCATGCCAACCTCACTGTGGAATGAACCGTTTAGGACCTACATGTTAGTTACATGATCATTTAATACCGTTCCTTCCATAGAACATGGATAGCTTGTCTTAATGACAATAAAGGCGTCATTTTGGTTTCTAGTTGATAACTGTCATTGTCAATGGAATCGGTAAGTCCTCACACGTCATCCGCCACCTGTTTCCAAAAAAACGTGGACTGACAACACCAAACGGCGGTGAGGATGGGGAGCAACAGGACCCATCACTCACTGCTGGTGGGGATGCCAAATGGGGCAGCCACTTTAGAAGACGGTGTGGCGATCTCCTACAAAATGAAACATACTCTTTACCATATGATCCAGCAATCACCCTCCTGGGTATTTACTCAAAGGAGTTGAAAACTTATATGCACACAAAAACCTGTACATGGAGGATCATATGAGCTGTATTTGTAAATGTCCAAACTTGGAAGCAGGTGAGTGTACATGTAAGCGGTGTCCTTGGCATATTATTCAGTGCTGAGCAGTAATGAGCTCTCGAGCCATGAAAAGAACCCTGAATGCATATTACTTGGTGAAAGCAGCCGGTCTGAAAAGGCTACGTGTGTGTTTGAGGGGGAGTGAGCCCTGACCAGAGACGGGCCCAGGCCAAGGGTCCCTGCCTTGGCCCGGCAGTCCACCCTTCCCATGTGGGTACAGATGGGTGATAAACACTGACACCCAAAGTTACACTTACGAATGATCACATTGGCTCTGAGCCCCTCACGGGCAGCGAGTGGGTTTCTACCACCATGGACTGGAGCCTCTAGGATTCTGCGCCCACTCTCTGGTCTGTCCCTCAGCCTCGGAAAGAAGCCCTCCCCTCCACCGCCTCAACTCGGGAGGTGCCAAGGGGACTGTGGGAGGGCTCCAGGAGGCTTTCTGGGATCACTACGTCTCAAATGTACACTGCCCTCCGAGAACGCTGCACGTGGAGGTTCCAGAGGCGATGACATAAGAGATAGTCTTAAGATTACCTGTACAAGCCTCCACCTGCCGTGAGGTCCCTGCGAGGTGCCTCTGGACGGCCTGTGCTCTGATCGTTCTCTCGGGAGGGAGACGGATCTGTGTCCATCCATCTGTGCCTCACTCCCTTGAGATCAAGAGGCCATGGATCCAGGCTGTCTAAGAATGGGGGTGGGGGGGTAGGTGGCCCCACGGACCTGACCCACAGCCCTGGGCCTCCACCACATGAGCTACAGCCCATGGACATGGGGACGCCTTTGGAGAGGGAACAGCCTCCTCCCCTCCTTCCATGTCGGCAAACCTGGTAAATTAACATGGCCACTGCACGTGGAGATAGACAGGAATCAAGACCCTGCCTACCCTTGTTTCCTGGGGTACCACACCAGGCACTATGGCTTCCGTAAGAAAAGGAATTAGGAACCTAATAAAGTGTTCTCACAGGATCTGGCTTCTCTCTCTTTCCTTCCACATAATGTAGGAAGAAACTTTGATACATGAGCTGGTCAAATGAAGGCCCCCCTCGCTGGAATCACTCGGCGTCCACCCTCTCGTTTTTAACCAAGTCATTGCTCTCACAGTGTCAGACCAGAGACATTCTGAACAAATCCTATCGGGGCTGGGTGATGGGCCGGGTAGGCACGGGGTGCTCCGACAAAGCTCGGCGCAGGCTCACCTTCCCAAACACGGCCACACGTGCCTGGTCAATGTATTGCTCCTTCAGCATCATCCTGCAAGGCCAAAGAAGAGAGGGGCGAGTGAGTGAACACCGTGGTTGCACTGTGGCCCAGAGCCGAGCTTCTGGCCATTCCAAGCACGAAAACCTCCACTTGAAGGAAATGCTGGAATTCGAATGTCATTGTTTATTGCTTTTCTTTATTTAGTGCATGGGCAGTACGTCCATGTTGAAAGCCTCAAAGTGCCCGGTCTGTCAAACTTGCCGACCGAAAGCCAGGAATGCAAAGTAGCCGAGGCCGTTCTGGAGACCAGGCACCGCGGGGTCCCTGTCCTCTGCTACAATCTGCCCCTCACTTGGACCGTGTGACCCCCAACCACCGCAGACTCTGGGAGTGTCCTCCGGGATCAGCCTGGAGAACAGACCCTGGCTCTGTGCTAAGGGGCTTGGAGTCCGGCGCTGGGCACTCACCACACCTGCAAGTGTCCTTTGTCCCCAGCTCCTGGCTGGGGGCCCCTGCCTTGTGCTTCCTGCCTTGGACGCGAGCAGCTTGATGCCCCTGCTGGTGCTGCCCGGGTCCCGCCTTGCCCTTGCCAACCTCTTACCACTTTCCCCTAGCATCCCGTTTACCCACAACATGACAGGCATCTTTCTGGTTTCTGGACCCTAATTCAGCAGTGGGAGTCCTGCCACCTGCTGCCAGATGACCGGCTGCTTCCTGAGTCTCAGTGAGTTGCTTCCTTCCACATGTACATACACGCCCCCCGGCGCCCCCACCAGAGCCCCTCCCTGCACAGCCCTGTTCCTCCTGTTTCTGTCTACTTCTTGGTGATTATTCCCTTGCTTCTGTTTTCTGGGTTGTGCTCGCTGGCTGGAGCCACCCCATCACTGATAACTGCCCTTCTCAGCCGGAACAGAGCGTAACACTCTGGGTACCGAGCCCTCAGAGCCAGCTCTTTGAGGACCAGCCCTCCTCCCCAGCCTGGAGCAACACCGTCCCCAACTCTCCTAATGGAGGAAAGTCATGAAGGAACATCTGAAGTTGGGCCTAGAGACCACCAGCCCCACAGAAGCAGGAAAGAGAAGGTTGGAATCGACAGATTACGAGAATGTTTTAGCATTTGAACAGGACTACTAATAGGAGTGTGAGGAGGATTCGGGAACAAGTGGGAGATACTATGAATAGGTCCAGAGAAAGATTCTCAAGTGAAAGACAAAGCAACACTTCCAGAACTAAAAGATGCAGACGAAGGTGGGGCACGGAGTGGGCGACGTGCTCCGTAGTGAGCAGTGTCTATCGTGGTCCTGCACCCCCAAATACTGATCTAACGAGACATGATGGGGGGCTGCAGAATTGCTAAATCCTCACCTGCCACCACAACACGAGATGGGAGCTCATGCAGTAATGAGAACTGTGTTCAGGAACACGGATGGTTGGGAGTGCTTGCCTCTGCCAAACAGGCCTGGGGGAGGGGGCAGGTAGGGCAAGGGAATCTGTTGTTGATTTAGACAGTGGTTATGGGTTAGCCTCCGAAAATTACGGTCAGATCCTAACCCCTAAAACCTCAGAGTGTGACCGTATTTGGAAATAAGGTCATCAGATGTAGGTAGTTAAGACGAGGTTAGACTTAATGCTGTTAATCCCGTATGACTGGTGTCCTTAGAAGAGGAGAGACCCAGAGACCCAGGAGGAGCACCATGTTAAGAAGGAAGATCACAGTCCCGTGTCTGCAAAGCCAAGGGACACAAGGGTCGTTGGCACCACCAGTAGCTAGAAGAGGCGGGGAAGGTACATCCCCGACAGATTTCGGAGGGAGCGAGGCCCTGCCTGCGCCTCGACTTTGCCATGCTAGCTCTAGGAAACTCACGGAGCACTTTCATACATTTGCTTTTTAAAAACGTTGTGCAGATGTTACAGGATAACCTGGCTGGCTTTGAATCACATCTGCCAGGCTTGGGATATGGAGGGGTACTCACATGTACACACACACCCTGTCCTGGGCTACGTACAGAGCTTCGTGGGCATGTCCACATATCTGGAAGGAGTGCAGACCTTTCTCCAAGTTCCTCCATTTTCTCCTCGTGACCCAAATCCCTGATAACGCAGAAGCACTTTTGGGAACATCTGTTGAAATGGTCCGGCTCAGCCAGCTATTTTCACAACTGGTCCACCTGGTCCTGTGAGGATTCTGCCCCGGGGCCAGACATCTGGATTACATTTGCTGGGATCCATGTAGCAGTCTGTGGGGACCACGGAGCGTGGAGTGAGCTATGTGCAGCATTAAGGGCTCCATTCCAACCTGTAAAATACCTTGAATTTCCATTCTCAGCCCTCCTTCCAAGTCCGCAGGCAGCCTTGGGTCTTTGGCAACCCCTTCATCTAATTACCTAGTGACTTACTTCCTTATCTAAATGCCAGAAATCTTGATAATGACCCTCATTTATAAAGTACTCTGGAATCTTCCAAGGGTGGTTGTTTTTTCTAACATCAAATATTTTTGTTATCTTGTACCTGTATTTTCACCAACGAACCCAGCAATTCCCATGTGATGATTTTTCTTCTGGTGAACAGTGGAATCCCAAGATCAAGGAGAGCCCAATTTCATATGCAGGGAGCACTTTTTATTACTGGGGTGGTCTGAGGCCTCGCAAGAGCAGAAGCAGAATCCATCAGGTGTCTTTCTTTACGGAGCATGTCCTGAGTTCGTTTCCACGCTGGTCTGCAGAGGCCCCGGCGGGACAGGGCTCCAGGCCTCTAGAAGCGCGGTCTACTGAGGGAGGCGGGCTGACACGGTGACATGGTGGCAGCATTGATGATGTGGCATGATGGGATGCGTGCCTGCTGACTGGTGCGGTCCCTGTTGAGGCAGCCTTGGAGAAGCCGGGAGCTGGTCAGAGTGGGTGAGACAGGAGGTCAAGAGAACACCTCACAGGTGGCCGCACAGGGTCCTGGGCGAGCAGGGCTGTTTGTGGGGCTGCGTGGAACTTCAGGCGGGGGGACAGGGTGCGAGTTTGCACACTGTGTGCCCTCCCGTCTCCCTTCAGACAACCTGCCCTGAGGGGGCTGATGACCCCCAGTGGGCACATCCTCTGACCCTCCACAGTGTCCATGCCATCCAAGTGGTGCTCCCAGCCACTGAGCATAGCAGGGCCCTACAGCTAGGCCTCGGCTGCCTGGCAGGGGGTCCTCCAGTGGCTCTCTCAGCAATGGGCTCCCCGTCAGGAGACCCCCTTCCCACCTGGTCCTCCATTCCTGCCCTGGTGTCAGACTCCACTGTAGCCTGGTGGCACCCTTGCCCTGGCACCCTTCACAGACAGCCCCTTCCGAAATCTCCCGCTAAGTCCACCCAGGCACCTTTCTCGGGGACCCTAGCTTCCAGAGGTGCCACAGCACCCTCCGAACGGAGAGAGCCCACAGCCAGAGGCTTGATTTGGCAAGGAAGAGGAGCCAACGAGGGTGGGGGAAGAAATACGGCCAGTGCCTTTGTCCCACTCTGTGCCATGGGGCTACACACCGCCGTGAGGGGCTGAGCTTTGCCCAGCTTGCCCCTCGGCCAGCTCCGGCTCCACGTTCATCCACTTACCCAGTCTGGGGGACTCTGCCCCCAAAATACCTCCCAGGCGCCCTCCACCTCCCCGCATGCTCCCACTCCTGGAGGCCGTGCTCCTGCCCAGTTGGTCGGGACTGTGCCCCTCTTCTGGCAGGTCCAGCCTGGACCCTCTCTGGACTGCAGCTTCCCCACCTATGGCCTGAGGCAGTCGTCCCACCTGCTGGACGGTTTCTGGTAGTCATGAGGCCACAGCCCCGTAGCCCCCGGGGCCAGGACCATTTTCCTCCATGTCCCACCCTCTTCCTTCTTGGTCCTCATGTGGGCTGCCTCCTCCTGCTTCCCCTCCACTCACTGTCCACGGGGCTCCCCTGTGCTCAGTGGCTCCGAGGATGAGCAGTATGAACAGTGACAGTGGCTCCCATGTCCTCGGCTTCTGGTGGGTTCGGCCAGTGGGGAGTCCCGGCGGGAGGGAGGAGCTGTCGGGGCACTGGTCCTGGCTCCCTCCCTGCACAGCCCCTGTCAGGTGCTCCCTCTCCCTGGCCCAGGTCCTCTCCTGGGTCCGTGGTGGCTCCTGCTTTTGTGTGGCTAGCCCTAGGGCACTGCACCATTCCCTGGTCTCCCTTACCCTGCCCATGCCTCTGCAAACATGCACTTTTATTCATCTCACCTCAAACTACTCAGTTTGAGGGCCAGGACGCTGACCCACAGATTTTGCTACATCGCTACCAGAATTACAGTTCTGAAAAAGAAAGTTCACCTTGCCACCTCCTTGCTTAAAAACCTCCTGCAGAACTCTGCTGCTTACAGGGCACGTAGCAACTCCTTAGCATGCTGTGGGCGGTGTCTCACAATCTAGCCCTGTCCTACCTCCCCATGCATCCTGTCCCCTCCACTGCCCACCCCACCTCCCCATGCACCTGTCCCTCCACTGCCCACCCCACCTCCCCATGCACCTGCCCCTCCACTGCTCACCCTACCTCCCCATGCACCTGTCCCTCCACTGCCCACCCCACTTGTCCCCATGCACCTGCCCCTCCACTGCCCACCCCACCTCCCCATGCACCTGCCCCTCCACTGCTCACCCTACCTCCCCATGCAGCTGCCCTCTCCATGGGCCACTCACACTGTGGTCCTCTGGTGCTCAGTGTGCCCTGAACAGTGGTGACTTTGCATGACCTCGAGCCTTTGCTCACGGTATTTTCTCTGCTTGGAATGTGTATCTCCTGTTTTCTGCCTGACAGATCCCTATTTATCCTCTGAGGTCTTGCCCAAAAGCCACCTCCTCCCAGAAGCACTTCAGGCAGGGCTGTTTGCTTCTGCAGCTTATGCTCCAGGTGAGTGTGGCTCCACCCTCCGCCCAAACCATCGGTTCACATGGCTGTCCTCTTCCCTTACACGGTCGCTGGGCCTGGGAGGGGATTTGCTCCCATCAGCTGCTGACCCAGTGGGCTCCAGGACAAAGGCACGAAGTGGAAGAAGACAGGAGAATCACAAAAGGTGCTGGGGAGTTTTGGGGCATTAGCAGGGTGGGCCAGCCTCATGGTTTCTTAAACTTCTGATAAAACAGGGCTATTTCTTTCTGAAATGAAAATACAGACCCAGACCCTAAATAAAGCTTTGTAGAGTTCTCTGTGGCTTGAAACATTTGGGCCTCAGCTTCCTGCGTGTCTTAAAATGGCTGTAAGGTTGTCGAGGGTTTATGTATTCTTGTGTTTATAAGCCTCAGTGGCCTAACAGTTGACATTATTTACTGTCTTTCCGGAACAGGTTCTGCCTTGTTTTTTGAACAGATGGCCGGATCAATTCCTTATTTTTAGAAAACACCATGAGTGTGGAAAAGCCTTTTGCTCTCTTGTTCCCATGCTCGCAGGGGAGCGGCTAGACGCAGCCAAGCGCCTGCAGGGGTGCGGGCTGCAGGTGTGCCTGAAGGACACTGTGTCCTTCCACCCAGCGAGACGCTCTGTGCCCCATGCTCCACAGGCACAGTCAGACCGGGATGGGCGAGGAAGGGCACCGAGGGAGGAAGGCTTTGCTGCCATCTCGCAGGGCAAGTCCCACCCCCATGTCCAAGTACAGGCGGGACCCTTCTTTAGCGAGCACTGCTGGCTGCTGACCTGGCCCCCACCTGGTCCTCCCCCTTCCCCACAGAACCCCACCTTTGCTCCCCTGTTCCCTGGTACAGGGGGGACCTCCTGGATCTCAGGTGACAGCCCACACCTCTCTGGCCAGTCATGGGTTCTGGGTTTTGGACTGGTCAGGGGTATGTAAGGCGAGGGTTGGTGGGTGCTTGTGGGGAGGCTCCTCCCTTCCTTTCTGGAAGTTTCTGGAAGTGGCTCCGTCCTCAACCTGCCGGAGGTGAATGAAGAAGCATGGACTGAGGTGCTCCTGGCAGCCATCCTGTGAGCAGGAGGAGAATCAGCTCTGGATGAGTCCATTAAGGCTGGCTGAGCAGAGCGGTGGAGAGAGCCTGGCTTTTGGGTGGCACTGCTGGGTCTCTGGATCAATGAACCCTGAGGCCTCCCATCGCCCTGGACTTCCAGAGCCAATATGGTTCCTTATTTTGAAACATGTTTGACTTTGTCTATGTGTTACCTTCCAGGCAAAAGCATCCTAGCAGATACAGCTTCTCAGACCATCAGTCCTCAGAAGCTTCCCCTCCTCTGCATTTTCTGTCTGTAACGCTTACAGGGCCCTGGGCACATCGCCTTGTCTCTCCTCAACTAGCTCACAATGCCCTTGAGCAGAGGGGGCCATTCCTTCACTCACTCACCATTTCATCCACTTCAAATTATTAACTAAGCACATATAGGTGCCACCAATCTTTTCAAAAACAAGGGAGAAACGTCCCAAGTCAGGAAAGGGAAACGTTTCAAACCTGCAAAGCACCGAGCCATGGTAAGAGGAGGGACGGGACACCACGCTTCCTCGCAGCCCTTCAGGCAACAGGTAGGTATTTATCATCCGCACACTGTGTTCCACCTTCTCGACCTGCCCAGGGGCCAGCGTCCCGCACCCCTCTTCCCAGTGAAGATAACTGTCGTTACCAGAGTCCCCATTCTGCGTGTTTCCCCAGCCTTTCCTGTCATTCCCTGGACACGAGTCTGCTGCTTTGGTTGAGCTGTTCCGCAGCAGCTTGAGCGGCTAAGGCATGTTTGCGCTGCAGTCCACCGCGCCGGCGGACCGTGAAAACTCTCCCTGCCCGCTGAGCGCGAAGGCCAGCTCAGCCTGGAACGGGCTCTTGATGTCTTTTTTTCCAGGGCGACAATAAAACTCCCACAATTTTGAGCATCTGTCCCTTGGTGCGCAGCCTCTTTCTGTTCTCCGTGGGTCTCTGACTCCGCGACGAATATGTGAAACAATGCTGAGACAAAAACGGGCCACTCTTTGGGGCAGAGCAGGGTTTTCTGACCGACCCCCTGGATGTCAGGGATCCTTTCCTCAGAAACGTGGTGTCCCATCACATGGCTCTGTCCCACTCGTATTGTCCCCCCGCCCCATGTCCTGTCTTCCCTCCCTCCCTGCTCTCTCCCTTGTGACGATGGGGAAGACGTGTGTGTGTGTGTGTGTGTGGACGCTGGCCCAGGTCTGTGACCACAGCACTGGGGAGCCAAGCAGCCCATGAGTTGGCGCCTTGTTTTTATCAACTAAACAGACAAGTTACCTGGCTCTGCGAAAACTAGCGTAAGAGTCTTCGGGAGAATGTTACCAGAAGCTTCCCTCGAAGCCCGCGTCGGAACTGGCCACGGACTTTTGTCAGCGTGAGCAGACCGCACGTGAAGCGCGCGCACCGACAGGAAACCCGCCCGGCGGGTCACCTCCCCGCCGCTCCCGCCGCTGCCCCGGGGCGGGGTCCTCACCGCACAGCCTCCATCTGGTCCTTCTCCTCCAGGGAGCCCAGCCTCCGCCCCACTTCGTGCAGGAGCTTGGTGCCTTGGAAGCCACTGCCGCGGCCGTCGCACTTCACCACCACGGCTCCGTGGCTGCTCACCAGCACCGTCTCCCAGGTCACCTCGAACTTCTCGGCCACGCTCTGGCTCCCTGGGGTGCCGTCCCTGCAAAAGAGCCCCTGGCCTCGGCACTCTGCGCGCTGCGTGCGGCCGGCCTGACCGACGCCGGGTCCCGACGACGCCCAGGCTGCCGGCCGAGCCTCGCCCCGGGCGCAGCACTTAGGCCGTGGGGCCGGGCCAGCGCTGCAGACCGGCCGTCCGAGACGGAGACGGGCGTGGGTGAGGCTCCCGAAGCCTCTCTCCCTCTGGCGGGGCCAGGAGGAGCAGGGGAGGCCAGCGCCTCTCCAGCAGCAGCAACAGACGGCCAGGCCCCATTCCGAGAGCCAGCCAACTGAAGAGGCACGGGTCCTTCCTCCAAGGAGGTGACAGTTACCACTGCCACCGCCATCCTGGCTTTCTGCCAGGGACCGAGGGCATGAGGGCAAGGAGTGTGTGTGTACGTGAGAGGTGTGTGAGGTGGGTGTGTGAGGAGTGTGTATGCAGGGGTGTGTGTGTGTGAGGCATGTGAGGCATGCGTGTGTAAGAGAAGTGTGTGAGAAGTGTGTATGCAGGGGTGTGTGTATGTGTAAGCAGTGTGTGTGTGAGGTGTGGGTGAGGGATGTATATGTGAGGGGTGTGAGGGGTATGTGAGGTATGTGTGCAAGGGGTGCGTGTGTGGGGGTGTGTGTGTGAGTGTGTGAGGCACATGTATGGTTGTTGGCAAGGATAGCGAGGAAAGTGGGTTAATTGCCAAACGGAATCTGCTGTTGGGACCTAAGCCAGGGGCAGCTCTGTAACGAAGCCCTTCCATTGCTGGGGACTAAGTGCCCAGGACGGGAGCCGGGCGACAGGGGCAGGGCTAATCAGGTCATTTGATAGTGACTCAGGCGGGTGGTTTCATGGCGTTCCTAAAACAACTCAAGCACAGGCCGCTGCTCTACCCGGACCTCTTTCAAGTAAACAGGAGGGGTGGCTCCCTGAGAGGCAATGAGAGAGCTCAGAATTTTCCTCATGTTCCACGGCCTTGAACGAACACACGTGGAGGTGAAGAGAGTACGTGTTAAATCTCTGGGTGGTGTCTGCCTTTAAAAACACTTCCGTGTGCCCGGTGTGCCCGCGTTAAGCCTCCACGCCGGCCTCCGCCTCTCGAGGGACCTGTGCTCTGGGTGGGCCGCCTGCCTCCCCAGATCAGCTTTCCTGTCCGTTGCCGAGCCTGTTCACCAGCCACGGCAGCGCCACCCACCCAGCAGGACCTGCCTCAGGTCTGGGGGCGCAAGCAGACCGGGGCGGGTACGGCCCACTTCCTTGCCCGGCGGCCTCACCGACTGTTCCGAGCAGAGCCTGCCACCTGCTGGCAGCCTAACCTGTCTTCGGTTCTAGTTTGCAACCTCCTTTCTCACGCTTGTCTTTTTCTTGAGTTCAGTGCTTTCCATGGTGTCACCGAGTCCCCAGGCAAGCACCCCGAGAAAGAAAGAGGCGACAATACTCACACCACCAGGAGCAAGGGGTAGTGGGCCGTGTCGGTGAAGGTTGCTGGCTTGAGGATCTGAACGGGCAAGTCTAGGCAGAAACAGACACAGGGCAGCACGTTAGGGGGCAACCTGGAGCAGGAAGGAAGGCCATGGAGTCCCAGCGGTCCGGAGCGCTCCTGGAGGCATGGGAGGAGGACACTCTGGAGGGGGCTCCGTGGGCCCCCCCCACAGCCCCGGGGCTGGCCGGGATTTTTGTCTTAGTGACTCTGGCCAGCTGAGTGACCTTAGGGAAATCACCCAACCATCTCAAGGCTGAGTTTCTCCATCTGAAGCTTAAATTCAATCTTGCAAACAGTGTGCGGAAAACCAGAAAAGCCTGGAAGGCCATAAACACTTGTTAACAGCCGAATTCCAGGCTGGGAGAAATGAGACCCCAAGGGTGGCATGTGTCCCTGCCAACAGCGTTGCCACAACCCACAGGTGGGGACAGACCTCGGGGAGCCGCGGGGAGCCGCGGGGATGGGATGAGGCCGGGGCGCGGGCGGCAGCCCAGAGGGAGAGGCTGAGAGCCGGGAGCCTCTGGGCACAGCCAGGGGCTCTGCCGGCCTCGCGGTGTGCGGGCGGGTGCCGGCCAATGGGACAGCGGAGGGGAGGGGGCTGAGGCACCAGCTCCCTCTGGTCTTGTCCTGGGCAGCAGGGACCCGGTGTGGGAGGCAGGGGGCTCCCACACCAGCTTCTTCTGTCCCCCCCCCCCCCCCCGCAAACAAACCTTCCTGCCCAAGTTAGAAATTGTTTGTTGACGGTAACTACAACCCAGATTAGCAATTAAATTGGAATTAGCAGCTTTTTCAGTACAATTACTACAGATACATCCCAGGCTAGGGTGGTTGGCTCAGCAGCCGGCTCTGACCAGGCTCTCATTACTGATTCTGGTTGAATGTTAACGGCTTGCAAATTGGATCAATGGCCCAGGGACTGGCAGAAAGGAAGGCGTCGGACTTTATCATTGCAATATCCATAAAACATGGTGTGGGCTGCTCTGTGCTGCTGAGAAGCCCATTGGCAGATCTCGGCCACGACTGGCTGCATCCAGGGCCGGGAGCCCTTCCTGAAGACGGACTGCTTCCCGAAGGAAAGCCTGAGCCTCTGGGGACATTAAATGAAAAAAGCAAAACGCAACAAGACAGGTGGGGAGGAACACATCTTGCAGATTTTTTGTGGCCCCAAAGGGGTGACGTTCGGCTGCTAGTCCTCGCACACACCTGCTTTCCTAGCACCTGCATTCCCACCCACCTACCAAGGAAACCTCACACGGGAAGGAAACCTCATGCGGCAAGGGTGGGAGAGTTGATTGTTTCTAAAGGTCTTTGCACTTTTGGAGGAGGGGATGGTGTTAGGATTTGGGAAACTATTGCGACAGAGTGTGGACTGGCTTGAAGGAGGAGGGCACTGGGCCCAGGAGATGAGAAAGAATCTTGTAAAGAATACGATCTGGCCTCACCGGCTGTGGTGGGAAGCAACGGACGTGGGAAAATGTGAGGGAGCTTCCCGGAAAACATGCTGCCAGGAATGGGGGTGGGGCAGGAAGTTGAAGTCTGACCACACAGGGGCACCAGCCTGACGCACACCTGTGACCTGTGCAAGGGCCCTATGCTGGGCGGTCGTAACGAGCCATGAACGAAGAGCCCCAAGTGTTCACGTTGCACTGGGCCCTGCAAATTTCGGAACCTGTCTTGAGGTCTGTAGCTAGAGCTGGAAGGTAGAGGGGGTCGGGAAAATGTGTGGAAACTGCTTGCTTGTTTATTCAGCCGTCCTACCATCCTTCTATCCTTCCCTCCTTCCATCCATCATCCGTCCACTATCAATTTAAAATCGTCTTGCTTTCTTGCCTTTTGGTTCTTCCTTAAAGAAGAAAATGGCACAAATATGCAGTTCCTTTAAGGGTTCTCATGCATTTGAGTCTGTTCTGAGTAACTGGACGCCAGGGTCTGTGTGGAGGACTGTACCTAGTCCAGCAGGCTATCTGTGTGGGCCGGCCAGATTTTCCTCTGACCTAGTTCTCTGACCTGCTCTCTATATGGGGGTACCCCGAACTGCCCAGCGTGGCTCTCTTCATGGAGCAACAGGGATGGGGGTGGGATTTAAGACAAACAAGCGGTGACTCGGGTGAATCCATCAGGAGCTGCCGTCACCCCCCAGTAAGAGTTAGCTCAAGAGGGGAAACCTATTTGACAACCTCAGAGGTGACGGGGGGAAGGACCTGAAGGTTGGAGCCTGCATTCTTTAAGAGAAGGGTGCCATCCCCCAAAGTACAGAAGTCTGGACGGGTACAGAGCTCTGGGGGAAAGACAGTGAGACGTATTTGGGGCTTTTGCACATGGAGTTTCCAAGGGTAAACATCTGGCGGGCCGTGAGGACACACCAGGTGGGCTGGGTTGACTGGGGAGCTATCTGCAGAGGGGGGATTGAGGCTAGGAGGACTCTGTTTCCCTCCTGGAGATGGGAGTCCACTTGTAGCCAGTGCTCTGGGATCCAGCACAGCATCAGCGCTCATAAAAGCTCACTGGACGAGAGAATGGACAGCTCGAGACAAAGAGGGGCACAAGGACAGGCAGAGTGCTGGGTGCGTCTCAGGTCATGTCAGCACGCAATCCTTCACTGTATTATCTCTCTAGTTTCAAGGACGCCTCCTCAGCCCATAATCAGCACCGAGAGCTTAGACGATGAAGGAGGAAAATATCAGATGGAACAGAACAGAAATTTCCAGAGGGGGGATGTTTCCTCTGGATGGTGTCATGACATGTTCCCCCCAAAGGAGAGAATTTTGGTCTGGGACCTTATTTAACTGTCAGCCTCTTGAGGAGAGAAATCCATGCTCCACCTTTTTTTGGTCTATTGCCAGAGGAGTATCTTGGTTCTGAGCACAACAGGCTCAATGCAGGATGCTTTCCCCCATGAGCTCCGCCCGAATCTCCCCCTTGCAGGTTGGATGCATTTCCAGCCATGAGGCTGGGGAGTGGGGTGCTGGTGGGGAGCCTCAGGGCACAGCAATCCCTGCTGGCGGCCGGGCTGTCTGTTCCAGGGGGACAATGCAGCACTTACTGTAATCGTCAACTTCGATCTTCCTGTATTCTACTTTAGGCATCTGTCGGTCATGTACGGCCTTCTGTACATGCTCGTTTGTTTCTAGATCAAACATTTCTAAGAGAGAGAAAGAAAAATGACACATTCAGCCTCAGCGATCACTTACTGAAGCCGCTGGCTTTCATGTGGGTCAGACTGCTAATTCCTACGTCAGGCCCAGAGGTGATGATTGTTATTTCTTGTGCACAGACCAGGAAACTGAGACAAGGTGGAACGCCCCGTCTCAGGTCAGGAGCTTGGGCAATGGAGGGTTCTTTCCATCGTATTAGGTAACTCCTCTACCCATAGGTTGTCCTTCCCCATGGCATTTCTCACCCACACGTATAGGCCTGGGTATTTTTTTTTTTTTAAAGATTTTATTTACTTATTTGAGAGAGAGAGAGCGCGCACAAGCAGGGGGAGGGGCAGGGGGGAAGGAGAAGGAAAAGCAGGCTCCCCGCTGAGAATGGAGCCTGACATGGTGCTTGATCCTAGGAACCCAGGATCATGACCTGAGCTGAAGGCAGACAGTTAACTGACTGAGCCACCCAGATGTCCCGGTCCAGGTTTGTTTTATCCACAAACTGCTGGTTTCAGAAAACCAACATCACCTATCTGTTAGGACAGATGATTTTCCAAATATAGTGGCCACAATAACCAAAGAAAAAAAGGAGAGTAGAGCCTGGAGTGTGCTCTTTACTAAAATTTTACAGGAAAAATGGATTCGGATCTTTTACCCTACTCATAATGTGATCTGGCTTAGGACACCTTAATTAGGATGATCATATTAGCTGGCCCTAAAGCCACGTGGCCACAGGATACAGCGCAGTGGGACCGGCCCTTTTCCCTCCAAATTAGAGAGGCGGGTCAATCTTGCACTGGCCCCTCACTTGCACATGTGCCCAGTGGGTGTTTCCCCAGGTGCACGGATGCCCCTCATCAGCCCACTTCACTGATTTCCTGCGGCAAAGGCCGTTCCTCCGCCTTCACCATCTGCTCTATAATAAAAACCACCCGACTTCCTTCTTCCTTTCTCACTTTGAGCCCACACGTGGGGACACCTTGTGGCCCATTACGAAAGGAAATTTTGTCTTCAAGGAGCTCCACTTTTCGCTCCTCAAATAGCTTTGAAACATTCATGAATATTTCACCGAATAAACTCACAACGCAAGCAGAGCTACAAGGAACGGGGAACCATCCCCATAACAACTCCTTTTAAGAAAAACAGACCCCGAATGACTCCACAACGGCACCTGGAGGCCAAATATGGCCCAGAACCAGGAGGCTCTGGCACTGAGTGGTTTTATCTGTGAAGGGCACGCGGCCACCAGTGGTGCTCAGGGATCCGAGGGACTCTCCACGAGCAGGGCCGGCAAACTCCCACGGCCGCCCATGGACAGGGACAGTTCCAGAACTGTGATGAGCAAACAGACAAAACCAAAAATGTTTTACAAGTTGCTGGACACATTTGAAAATTGAGCTTTGATGAAAAGGTCGGGATGGGGGCATGGTAACGCTCATTTTCAATAGGGAGAGTTAAAAACAAAAAAACCTTAAGCTGGACCAACACCACCGAAGATTCTGACCACCACGTGGCAGGCAAGAAATGGTGTCCTTTGTAGACAGTGGGACAGGACACTGCATCTGCAAGGGATGCACACAGAGGTCCAGGTAGATGACCTCAACTCTGAGACCCGGAGATGTGGCCGAGAGATGGCACACTCTACCTCGTGGTCACGCACACAAGTTGGGGCAGGGTGGCGGGTGTGCCCCACGGCCTGCCCCACACCCCCACCCGGACTCCTCAGAGAGCCCACACAGCACTCATTTTTGCTGAGTCTAAATATCCTCATCCCAGGCTGCCCAGGTGGCTGTCGGTTGAGCATCCAACTCTTGACTTTGGCTCAGGTCATGATCTCAAGGTCATGAGATCGATCCCCACATCCAGCTCTGTGCTAGGTGTGGAGTCTGCTTAAGATTCTCTCTCTCCCTCTCCCTGAGCCTCCCACCCTGCTCTCTCTCTAAAATAATAAATAAATCTTAAAAAAAAAAAAAAGTGTACTCAGCCCTTGAACAGTGTCGTGGGCATGCACGGTCAGGAGTTGATTTGTGAGATAGAAATTATTTCTTATTTGTGTTCTTGTCACAATGGTATGGCAGGAAGTCTAGAAGGCAGCTCTGCAGAATAAGGAGGAAAATAGCATTTTTCTAATTCTTTACTGCCACAGGACCTTGACACTCACTGTTCCCCATGACGGGAACTTTCTTTGCTGGCGCCTTCTCCAACAGGTCAAACATCACATCTGCAAGTAGAAGCCCATCTGGGATACCCCTCTTAACACCAACTGTAAGAGCTGTGGTCATTTGCCTGACTGCCTTTCCCTGCCCTCCAGCTCCCAAGGCATCAGCACTCGGTCCCATCCCAGAGACAAACCGTATGAGTTTCCAGTCACCTGAGTACATGTGGAAATCCAATTCATACTCCAGAAATGACGCATCTACACTGGAGCTGAGCCTGGGTTTCCACCCCAGTCTTTCTCCCAGTTCCCACTGGACAGGAAGCTGGGAGGGACTGGGGGTCCTCCCGGGTGCTTCAGAAGCCTGGGGGCTCTCAGGGGTTCCCAGTGTTTCAGGCCTCTTGAGTAGTAAGAGTTGATGCAATCCAAGCCTCCCAACCACTGCTCCCCACATAAAACCATACACAACGGGACCAAAGCACACTTCCATTACACTGATGGGAAAGCTTACAGTACTTGAAGGACTCGTGACAAATGCAAGTTAATACTGAGTTAATGCCCAGATCAGGATGCAATTCATGGTCTCTGCCCAGACGTGTGCTCACTGTGGGACCCAGTGCTCAGTTCTTCTGGGGTCATCAGGGAGCCCGCCATCCTCCCCTCCCTGTGTGCCCACGCAGTGAGCCCAGGTGGAGACCGGTAAGGGACCAGGCAGTGTGCACATGTGGGTCATGCTGGATGAGGGGAATTAGCAGGCACTAAGGGGAACAAAGGTCTCCCATTGCTACCAAAACGCAGCACCACGCTCCTGGGGTGCAGGCGACAGTCTACCCTGGGGAAGTCTGCTGGTGGCAAGGCCAGCCTGGACCACCAGCTTTCAAAATGAAAGAGAGCCAACAGAGCCTCTCACAGGTTATCACCCTACGCTCCTCTCTCCGTGTGTATGCGTTTGGATCCGGTACTTCTGACATCACTCAGCAATCTCTAACGCTGATCCTGAAGGAGAAATTTCCCACGTAGGTTGCAGCGTTGCTTTGCTGCCCACCGAGTTCAGCCTGCCTGGAGTCACTGAGCACACACGCTCGCCCCCCTGGAACAGCCCTCCCACTCCCGGACCCCGGAGCTCCGGCTTCGAGAGGGAGCACACAATATCCTAACAGACCCTACAGACCGCGTTTGAATAGCTCGCCTCTGTACCGAAATCCCACCCTTCACAGAGGCACCAAAGCAACAGACTATTAAATTTAGTTAAATATTAGATTTCCCGTTTAATGATTGCCCACACAACTGGTTTTATCAGCAGAGAGCTGGCTGGCCCACAGGGGAGTTGAGTTAAGCCATTTTATTTGTTCCCATAATTGCATTCAAAGGAGGCAGGAGCTCAGCAGAGGAAATAAGAGAAGATTGGCACGTTCCCGAAGGACTCTTCTTTTGACTTCATGGCCACGGGGACCTCCAGTCTGGAGCATACAAATGGCCACTCCTTAATTAAATGTGAGCCCGCTCTAATGTTTGGTGGAATTAGCTGTTATCAGATCTGGACACAGTGAGACTGCAGGAAGCATTTGCTCGGGGAGCTGCCTCCCTGGCTGTGCCCCAGCGGGCCAACGCGCCCTCCTGGGTCACGGCATTGCTGGAAGCCCCACTTGGCTGCACTCGGGGAAATGCGACCGGAATCTAACAGAAGCCGACGGGCCACTGACCTAAAGAGGACAAGAGCCGCCGGACGCCCTTCTTAGGTTTTTCCGCGGGAAGCAGAGTGCAGGAGTGCATGTGAACAGAGATCACGTCCTGTTGTGTGGTCTCCTCGCCCCGCCTGCACGTCCGCGCCTCTCGTGGTCCAGGCCCCTCCCGGCACGCTGCCCATTGCTTCCTCCTATGCACCTGTCCCCGAGGTGTGGGACCCCCACCCGCCGCCCCAGGGCTGTGTGGCCCCGGCCAGTGCAGGCCGATGCCGGCGCGGACGTGGGATGCCCCGTTGCACCTGCAGAGCTCCTTCCTCTGAACACCGAACGTCTGGTTGTTAGAATCAGTGTCACATAGTTGGGCAGTCATTGTCCTTGTTGCTAGATCTACTTTTGTCTTCAGCAGGATTTTAAGAAACTTGAAGGCAGAGTCCCTCTAAGTAAATGGCCCTTTGGCCCCTCACAGCCACTGGCTTCTTGCCAGGCAGATGAAGGGGTCTGATCAGGAGGGGCCGTGTGTCGACTGGGCTGATGTGGCCCTCTCCCCACAACTAACTACACTGTCATTAGTCTGGGCTGCGTGGTGGCGGGGTGGCAGCGAGCTTCGAGTGAGAGAGGCGGGATGCCAAGGCAGGTACCCTGCCAGCTGGAAGGTGCACGGCGCTTTGCTCTCTCTGGGAACCACATGCATGCGCACGGTCTACCAGGATCTGCAGACCGGATCACTCCATCCCTCCACAGAGGCCGCCTGTGTGTGGAGCCCTGGGGATCCAGAAGACTTTCCAGATACACAAACAACTGAGGGTTTGATGGAACAGGTCACTCCATGCTTGGGGACGTCTCCTGGACTCTCTGACTACCGTCTCCCCTCTGACCCGCATGCACGGCCGATGGAAGAGGCGGGGGTCCATGGGCGGGGGCGGCTCCAGGCAGCAGGACCCTGTGAGCAAAGGCCCGGGCGCCAAGCAGCTCACGTCTCAAGAAAGGATTGCCTTGATGTCAACTGCCGTGAGTTGGTTTTGCATCTTTATAAAAGCCCATGTGAGGACAACGGAATCCCGTCCTCGAGTGTTGGTAAGAGAGTGGCCCGGGCAGCCCGGGAGCTTGGGGTTCCCGAGTACACAGTCAGGATTATGCTGTGGGGGGCTGCCTGCCT